TTGCTGCGCACAGGCTTTCTCTACTTGTGGCGAGCGGGGGCTACTCTTGGTTGCGGTGCGCAGGCTTCTCACTGCGGTGGCTTCTCTTGCTGCAGAGCACGGGCTCTAGGCGCGCAGACTTCAGTAGTTGCAGCACGCAGGCTCAGGAGTTGCGGCTTGCAGGCTCTAGAGCGCAGGCTCAGTAGTTGTGGCGCACGGGCTTAGCTGCTCCGCGGCGTGTGGGATCTTCCCAGACCAGAGCTCAAACCTGTGTTCCCTACACTGGGAGGAGGATTCTTAACCACTGCGCCACCAGGGAAGTCCCCACACTTGTGTTCTTATTCTTTGTTTTTTTTTTGGCCGCGCCATGCAGCATGTGGGATCTTACTTAGTTCCCTGACCAGGGATCAGTGGAAGCGCAGAGTCTTAACCACTGGACATCCAGGGAAGTCCCTTGTATTCTTATTCTTATTTTTAAAATCCTTACTCAGAAATTATTGTTTAATTTGGGAAGGAAGTTTGAACTAAAATTTTTAGAGTAACAACTACAAGCTTCCTGAAATTTTAAGGGTAACAACTAAAAACTTTCTAATAATTTATTCCTCATTCCTTGGTCTCACGTTCTACTTTCTCACAGATGGACTGTCACCAGTAATAAATCTGGGAATTTGCTGAAGAAGTTCACTGTGAAATGCTGTCTTATTCTTTTTCATATGGAAGGATCTGCAGGAAAATTACGAAATTCAAATTCTCCTAAAAGCAGCAAAACTGTCTTGGCATTTAGGCTCTTTCACAAATTTCTAACCTAACTCAAGGTATAATGTTTCCAAAGGGAAGGAAAAAGAAGGCCTATTTAGCAGGTACATGTAGTGATGGTGACACCCTGAAGCGACACAACACACAGTCATGGGCAAAGTTGGAGGGGGGGCCCATGAACCTTGAGAGCAGACCAAGGGGTCTGGGAAAAATCACATGCTTAATTTTTACTAACTTCTAAAATTTAGTTTTCCCTTTGGTTACAAATGTCAGCTACAAATCACAGGAATATTAGAAGAAACTGTGACTGTGCCGCCAGGTTATCATGTCCTACCAGCTGCTCTGCTGTAGGTACACGGCATGGTTACAAAGCCCCTCCTGCTCTGCCTCCTGGAAGTTTATGGAGGTGCCTGATCTTCATGAGTTAATAAAGCGGCACAGGTGTTACTACTTTACAAATTTATCCTTTTAGTACTTTGATAACTGTATTTCAGTTTAATTGGTCGCCTCTGAAATCCTATGTGTTTCATTTTGTTTCACAGACTAATAAGAAATTATCCTGAGAAAGGTCCACAGGCTTCACAAACCACCAAAGGACTCCGTGGCACAGAAAAGGTTAGCACCCCTGGTTTGGTGGGTCAGAACACTGGGCCTGAGTGCACTGGCTCCAGTGGTTCAAATCCTAGCACCACGTAACCAGCTGGTAACACAGCTCACTACTTCTCTGAGCCCCGGTTTTTCAGCTATGAAATCGGGATAAAAAGAGCTGCTGCCCCGCAAACATACTATTAGGATTAATGAGATAACGTATGTGAAGCCATTGGCACACAGCCTGCCACTCAGAAAACAAGAATAAAAGGTGTCGTCTCGCTGGTGGCTGTCATCACATCCCGTCCTGGTCTTCCAGCAGAGATGGCCACGGACTCTCCCCCAATCCTCACTGAAGGTGCTCCCGCCAGGTTATCAAGTGCTAATCACTCTGACGAGCCCTCCTGGCCGGAGCAACTCACGTGTCTGTGCCTGACGGTTGCCTCCCTGTTTTTGTAAACTTTCCAACGAACAGGTTAATTTATAAATAATTTATAAACAAGGTCCTCATTGACACTCTCCCTCTGCATATCTCCTCCTGGACCCCCGGGAAAGGAGTTCCCATCCTTTAACGCCTTCATCAAGCATCGTAAATAGAGCCCTCCTTGAGCCTGGCAGCAGCCGTGCCCCCCAGAAAGGCTACACCAGGCAAAGGAATGAAGAGAAAGGAGAGGACAGTAAGGGATGTGAGACTCTGAGAGGAGCCTGTTTCCACCAACAGAGCAGAGAAGAAGTACTGAATTCTCGAAGCCTGGAGGGGACGGGGTGCCGACGACCGTTACCTTGCCAGCAAGCTCCAACCATGAGCTGGGTTTCGATCTTGGACGCATGAAGCGGGTAGTCTTCAGTCACAGAGAAGGGCTTGTGAGAGACGCCGTCCACGTAAAGAGTCACGTTTGGGATTTCCACGTTGAGGACATAGTGATGCCATTCCTCGTCACAGACCTACAAGGCCAAGGGGGTGGGTGGTTAAGTGTGAAACGTCCACCTTCCCTCTCACCCAAAGACGCAGCCATGAGAGCGACATAACTGGACACAAGAACAAGTCACCCAGAATGAACCTCTGTCTTCCTAAAAAGGAAAAGACTTAAAATGACAACAACAAAATACGTCTCATCCCACCACATCTCACCCCAAAAGGTCAAGGTGACATTACCATCTCTAGGACACTTCAGACTTGGGGGCGCTACTCATTTGTCATGTGACAGGACCCCAGACAGGGAGCTGCCCGATTCCCTTCTGCCAAGAGCATGACACCAGGAAATTCTAGTATCAGCAGGATGGACACCACCCAGGGGGCTGGCCATTCCTTTTCTGGATCAAAATGAAAAATGTGGCACTTCCACATTAACCACTGTGGCGCAGTGGTTAAGAATCCGCCTGCCACTGCAGGGGCCACGGGTTCGAGCCCTGGTCCGGAAAGATCCCACATGCCACGGAGCAACTAAGCCCGGGCACCACAGCTACTGAGCCTGAGCTCTAGAGCCCGCGAGCCACAACTACTGAGCCCACGTGCTGCAACTACTGAAGCCCGCGCACCTAGAGCCCGTGCTCTGCAACAAGAGAAGCCACCGCAGTGAGAGCCCACGCACCACAACGAAGAGTAGCCCCTGCTCGCCGCAACTAGAGAAAGCCCGTGTGCAGCAACGAAGACCCAACACAGCCAAAAATAAATAAATATTTTTTAAAAAATGAAAAATGCCTCCAGTTTCTGAACGAGGCCCACTACAGCACATGTGCTTTCTTTTTCGGTTCAAAGGTGATGGTCTAAATAAATACGAACATACAGCTCAGATGGCCAAATTCAACTGAGCTCCTCTCCTATCATGAAGGAGCAGCTCCCCAATATCTCCCTTGTTGTCACGTGGGGTGCTGGTCTGCAGTCTCCAAGGCCTGGCTGGTCTGGCATTCCCTGATTTCTGGCTTTAGAGGAAGAGGCAGACATGCAAGAACAGGGACAGGCAGAGAAGGAGATGCTATGGGATGAAATTTCTAAAACTGTATTTTTAAAAAGCCTGCCCAGGGACTTCCCTGTGTGGTCCAGTGGTTAAGAAATCTGCCTTCCAATGCAGGGGACGTGAGTTTGATCCCTGACTGGGGAACTAAGATCCCACATGCAGCAGGGCAACTAAGCCCGCACACCACAACTACTGAGCCTGCACACCGCAACTAGAGAGAAGCCCCTGCATCACAACTAGACAGAAGCCCACGTGCCGCAACGAATAGCTCGCGTGCCACAACTAAGACCCGACGCAGCCAAAAATAAATATTTAGAAATAATAAATAAATAAAAAGCTTGCCCAATTTACCTTTAAATTCTAAGAAACTGAACCAAGGAGAAATCAAGAGCTAAAACAGACCAGAAACATCAAAATAAATGAAGAAATTACCAAAGATTATCCCCAAAAGAAAAGCAGCTGCTCTTTATAAGTCTGAGGAAAAAATTCAAATCTCTAATATCGTATATATGTTTCTTATATACGCATAATGTATGTGTGTATAAATGTATAATCACATATTTCTAAATAAAGAAATTGCACAGGGCTTCCCTGGTGGCGCAGGGGTTGAGAGTCCGCCTGCCGATGCAGGGGACACGGGTTCGTGTCCCGGTCCGGGAGGATCCCACATGCCACGAAGTGGCTGAGCCTGTGGGCCATGGCCGCTGGGCCTGCGCGTTCGGAGCCTGTGCTCTGCAGCGGGAGAGGCCACAGCAATGAGAGGCCCGCGTACCGCAAAACACAAAAACAACAACAAAAAGACATTGCACAGCAATTCACTTTTGAGACAGATAAGATCTTAATTTTAGTTTCTTTATTTAAAACAAGTTCTATAATATATGCTGCTTCAGAAAGTAATTTATATTACACCCCCAGTTTTTAAAATAGTACGGGTTTCTTGGGAAATACCATGAGCATATCTTGAGAAGAGAGTAGGAGAATTAGTATAATTTTTTAATTTCCTTGAAAACACGGTGATTAGGGTAGTAAAACCCCAAACCACAGACAACACCCACGACAATACTGGTGACAAAGTGACTACATGAATGCTGAAACAAGTCGGGTGGAGGAAAGCAACAGGGCTTCTGATCCAGGTGATACCAGAGTGTGTGAAGCCACATTTTTAAAAAAATATTTTATGAAAACAACAGAAGGGAGAGATCAAACCCTAAAGCTGGAAAAAAAAAAAAAACTCATGCTTTTCAAAGTGTAGGAAAGCTAATTTCATGTAAAATTGAGGGGGGAAAAATGATCACGACTCAATCCCAAAAAGTTTTTAAAAGAAAAAAAAAAAGACAACCAAAGGGAATAACCTCCCTTCAGATAATGAAACCACACCTGAAAGACATACCTAACAAAAGAGATGAAAATGATAATCTGTTATTTCAAAACACGCTAAAAGACATGAGGAAAATGACAAAACAGAAGAACATAGTTTGTAATTAGAGCAACTCAGAAATGAGGTGACAAAGCACAGGAATGATTTAAACAAAAGGGAAAGATACAGAAAACAGGTAAAGAATATCAACAAAAGACAAGAGGAGTCCCCAGAGAGGAAAACCAAAGCAATAGAAGAGAATACTAAAAACTATAACAAAAACTTTCCTGAAATACCAAAACGTTTGAAACTAGATACTAAAAGGCATACCACATATTCGGGAAAACAGGCCTAAGACAACCAAGACATATTCGTAAAATCAAATGACCTTAAAGAAAAGAAGAAGAAGGAAAAAAAAAACCCACACATCCCATGGTCATCCAAACAAAAAGACTGAGTGTTTTTCTTTTCTTTTCTTTTTTGCGGTACGCGGGCCTCTCACTGCTGTGGCCTCTCCCGTTGCGGAGCACAGGCTCCGGACGCGCAGGCTCAGCGGCCGTGGCTCACAGGCCCAGCCGCTCCGCGGCATGTGGGATCTTCCCGGACCGGGGCACGAACCCGTATCCCCTGCATCGGGGGGCAGACTCTCAACCACTTCGCCACCAGGGGAAGCCCAAGGCTGAGTGTTTTATAAAGGAAAGAAAATCAAGCTGTTGTCAGATTTTTAACAGCAACATTTTACATCAGAACTCAACGGAGAGACAGATTTTCTGTTCTTGGAAATCTTACGTCGGAGCCAGAGATGTTATATCCAGCCAAAGTGACCTTCAGTATAAAGGCCATATTAAAACAACACGTAAGAACTCAGGAATTAACTGTTTCCATGAGCCCTTCCTGAGAACACACTTCCTACGACCCAAGTGACCAGAGATCAAGTGGTGACACTGACCACGGACGGCTGCTAAAATCACAGAGAAACAACCCGACGGAGCTTAAACAGATCAGAAACATGCAAACCCCATTCTGATCAAGCCTTTACAGCCCAGTCCCAATTTACAGGGTATAAGGAAGAGAGAGGAGTGGTAAATGACACCACAGAGAGAGGAGCATGTTCTGTCACCAAAGAAACTCCAAGAGAGAAGAGGAAAATCTACAGATTAAAATAAACTCAAAAGGTCCATCAGCCAATCCCAGTGTAAGGCCCCTTATTTGGATCCTGATTCAAACAAACAAATTTGTAAACACGAAAACATCTATGAGACAATTTGAACAAAAAATTCTTAATAGTGGAAGTAACAATGAAACAAGGTTGACCAAGAGCTGATAATTATTGAAGCCAGGGTGTGTGGAGTTGTTCCTTACACTAATCTGTCCACCTTTACCTATGTGTGAAATTTTCCATGATAAAGTTTCCAAAACATGTCATCAGAAGAAACTGAATATCTAAGTGTAGACTGTGGTTACTAAAACAGAACTATACCTAAAATGTCTACCTACATTGCAACGTTTTTTTCTGTATGATACCTTTCTTAGTTTCTTGAAAAAACTGATGACAAAAGTTTCCGAGAAAGAAATGATCTATGTAAATAAAAATTACACCAGTAAGAGATGAACACTGCCGGACAGTCACTTCATCTTTCCACCATCACATACTTTTTTCCTTTCTCATATGTGCTCTTATGTATCTATCTTGTAACTGTTTCAGACAATGTTATATTTTACCAACTACAGGCACATATAACACTATGTCAGCTCTTATCCACAAACTCCATGAGGCAAACAAATTAAGCTCAGGTTTCCTTCTTGCCCCAACTCTAAATCACAAGAGGAAATGACCTGCTGTGATTTTAATGAAAAGGCTTTCTCAGTTTACAGCATCTCCTCATTTCCTGTAACACATTGATTCTTTGCACATGACACTTGATTTTTATCACAGCAACTGTTAGGAAATCAGCTTTGCAAAGATATGACATCATCACAAGAAGTATAATGTGCTCTAACGTTGAAACTATAAATTCCCACGAGCTAACAGTTCATGTGATGTCTGAAAGATGTCAAGATTGCTGGTTCCTTGAATATTTAAAATATCGCGTCGCACCCTCGAATCTGCTGAGGCACCCAGGGTCCTTGGCACAACTTGGGAGGCAAGGCCTTAAATAACAAACAAATACAAGGACCTCAATCCCAATTTTGAAGCAAGTGCTGCTTATCTCAAGAAATTATAACACGATATTTGGGATTTAAAACATATCATTTCTTTATACAGGCACACCTTGGAGATATCACAGGTTTGGTTCCAGACCACACCAATAAATCGAGTATCACAATAAAGCGAGTCTTACGAATTTATTTTCGTTTCCCAGTGCATATAAATTTATGTTTACACTATACTGTGGTCTATTAAGTGTGCAACTGCATTATGTCTAAAAAATAACAGTGTACATACCTTCATTAAAAAATACTGCTAAAAAATGCTAACATTATCTGACAAGGCAGGGTTGCCACAAGCCTTCAATTTATAAAAACTGCAATTATCTGTGGAGCGCAATAAAATGAGGTACGCCTGTATTAATATTTTATGTATAAAACACGTACAGGTAAAAAAACAAACTTCGGCTTTCAGTAAAAAGGAGTTCAGTGGATTTAATTTGCTGTCCTATTAGCCACAGACACAGAAATCATAAAATCGTAAATAAACCCCGCCCATAAACAGCTGGTCCTGTTCACGGTCGCAGTGCCCGTTTAATCTCTCTGAAAAACACCCACAGCAGTGAGTTTTCCATGCACTCACCTGATTCAACTTCCAGTGGAATTCTGCAGGTCTGTATTTCTTCTCTTCTGAAGGATCCTGACGGAGGAGGAAAATAAGCCGGCAGCCGTGGACATAGACTGAATAATGGTGTCGGTTCATATCTGCGAAGAGTAATTCTACTAGTAAACTGCCGACTTAAGACCCAAAGGAGAACTAAAAGCTATTTCTTGAATGCATCTTGAAAACACAGTTTTATCAGCATGGGTGAACTCTCCATGGTGGGCCAAGGCAGGGTTTAGGAAAAACTACGCTTGGGCTTTACTGAGAAGAGGGGCCCAATCCACTGAGTAAAGCTAACAAACGCCCAGAGACCAGTGCAGTGTCTTGAGCACAGAACAACGGGTGTCACCAAGAGCGTGTGGGAGCCTTTAGGGTTAGAATAAGGTACCCACCTCCAGGCACCACTACAGTGGACGCCCCTTACAGCGAAGCTCACCCACCTGTTTTGTCTGAGCTGCAAAGGACCGTCTCCTTCTTCCTGCCAAACGGCCCGTGCCTCATCCACACAGAGATCGTAAAAGGCTCCTTGGGGTTGACGGAAACGACGCCATCTGGGACCCTCACCCCTTGAGTGCCATTGAACTCGTAGACCTGGTCGCTGTCGTGGCCATTGTCAGTGGGGAGGCCGATGGTCCAGTTCAAGGAGCCGCCCGGGGAAGGGAGCAGCTCAGCTGTGCCAGACGCAGCACCTAAGCAACATGGAGACACTCACTATGTATCATGCGACGAACTCAAAAGGGATAAGCATTTCAAAGCCACACTAAGGTACTGTCTTTGTTTTTTTGTTTTTTTTAAATTGAACTAGAGTTGATTTACAATGTTGTGTTAGTTTCAGGCGTACAGCAAAGTGATTCAGTTATACATACATATATAAATATATGTATTCTTTTTTTTACGTTCTCTTCTGTTATAGGTTAGTACAAGATATTGAGTATAGTTCCCTGTGCTCTACAGCAGGTCCTTGTTTATCTATTTTATATATCGTAGCGTGTATATATTTATCCCAAAGTCCTAATTTATCCCTCCTCTCCCCACCTTTGGTAACCATAGTTTGTTTCCTATGTCTGTGAGTCTATTTCTGTTTCATAAATAAGTTCATTTGTATAATTTTTTTTAGATTCCACACATAAGCGATAGCATATGATACTTGTCTTTGTCTGACTTACTTCACTTTGTATGATCATCTCTAGGTCCACCCATGTTGCTGCAAATGGCAATATTTCATTCTTTTTTATGGCTGAGTAATATTCCACTGTGTGTGTGTGTGTGTGTGTGTGTGTGTGTGTGTGTGTGTATACATATATACACACACACATATATATATATACATATCTTCTTTACCCATTCATCTGTCAATGGACAGTTAGGTGAGTTCCATGTCTTGGTTATTATAAACAGTGCTGCTATGAGCACTGGGGTGCATGTATTAAGGTACCACTTTTATCTTAGTGGTTATACAGTTTGCTAGTTCCAGTTTACTTTTCCTCAAAAATAAGGGTTTTTATTATTAAAAAGATTCATAAATAATAACCATGGATTTTTTTTAAAGGAAGAAAAAAAGAGGAGTATAATCTTTAAAAACTGTGAATCACTATGTTGTACAGCAACTATACTTCAATAAAAAAATAAAGAAAAGAGAAAAAAAGAAGCATTACTTGTGATCCCACCCCAATATATCCCCTATTAACATGTGGGTATAAACACTTCCAGTCCTTTCTTTAAGAATGTACACATATTATTAAAATATGTATAATACGTACGAATATATGTCATAAAATATGTATAATATGACTATATTATAAAAATGGAGTCCTGCTATGTACATACCTACATATATTCCCAGTAATATTCTTTTTTTTTTTTTTTTTTTTTTTTTTTTTTTTGCAGTACACGCGCCTCTCACTGTTGTGGCCTCTCCCATTGCAGAGCCCAGGCTCCGGACGCGCAGGCTCAGCGGCCATGGCTCACGGGCGCAGCCGCTCCGCGGCATGTGGGATCTTCCCGGACCAGGGCACGAACCCGCGTCCCCTGCATCGGCAGGCAGACTCTCAACCACTGCGCCACCAAGGAAGCCCTCCCAGTAATATTCTTTACAGCATAATTTAAAATGTCTGAATAGCATTTCACTGTATAGAATTTGTGCTGTGATATATTTAACTGATCTGTCCTGTGCACACGGAGTTGTCCCTATTTTTTCTCTGTGACAAACCTTGGCTTGACCAGGACTTCTGTGTGTCTCCATGATTATTCCCTTAGGATAAACTCCTAGAAATGGGATACTAAGCCAAAGAACATGAAACAACTTTTGTTACACATTGCCAGGCTCGATTTTCTTTTAAATTCATCCACAGAGGATTTTGCAACCTTTCACAGCCACTGGGCCCTTGACTTCTCTATTCCTAGGGGCAGCATGACTTGGCTGGGACAGCCTGGTCTTTTGAGTATCATACGATCTTGGTCCAAATCCCAGCTCAGCCACTTCCTACAAGTGTGACCTTGGGCAAGCGACTCAGCCTCCCTCAGTCTCAACTAATTCTTCTGTAAAGACAAGGCCAATGCTACCACCTTTGTAGACCTGATGGGAAGATTAAATGAAATAACACATGTGGAAGGACCTAGCGTACAGTAAGCACTCAAATATAAAATTCTTTCTACCTTTGAACTGTTCTGCTGACAGAATGTTCATTTAATACCATAGAAAATAACGGCATTACGAGAAAGTACGTTTTTTTACACTATACTTACATAGTATAAAATAGAAAATATTCCAGACCTCTTTACTTACATACATTTAGGTACATGATTATAAATATTTGGATTCAGAATCAGGATGAGCCACAGAGAATATACTTTTTCCCTTTTGCTTATTCTTCATATGACAATTTCCAATTATGAAAGAAAACTGGTTGCCTAAATCTAACTGTCATTATCACTTAGTGAAAAGACAGATGAGAACTGGAAAATGCTCCCTACGAAAGGCCCTTCCGAGCATCAAGAGGCCACTGAAGTTACTGGTGTTTTACCACCGGCCAAGCGGAACATTCCTCCTCAGCATCTTCCCCAAGAGGCATCCATACCTCACCTTTGCCTCATTCAGACAGACCAGGAAAATATCCAAACCGACGGTGAAGATGGAGAACTAGCCTTGGGTCAGATCTGCGATCATTCTGTCTCTCAGCTGCTCCACACCTTGTTTGTGGGACATAAAGACTATAAATTCGATGCAGGTTTCCTTAGTTTCCATTTTCTACTTCACGTTTGCCAAAAGCTATTGCATTACCTATAGCTTTTTTTTTTCCTTCAGTCCTTACATAAACGTCTCATTTCATTTAAAGCTCACTCCATCCGCCTGCCGATGAAGGGGACACAGGTTCGTGCCCTGGTCCAGGAGGATCCCACATGCCGTGGAGCGGCTGGGCCCGTGAGCCATGGCACTGAGCCTGCACGTCCGGAGCCTGTGCTCCGCAACGGGAGAGGCCACAACAGTGAGAGGCCCACATACCGCAAAAAAAAGCTCACTCCACTTATAGAATGCCTATTTTGATGATTCTCAATGCATGTTAGAGAAATACTTGCTTCAAATCAGTGGTTCTTAAAATGCACAGACACACACACACACACACACACTCTTCTGAACAGACTTTTAGGGGTTCAGGGTCCCTCTCTCGCCTCCTTACCACAGAGCCGGTGGAGGGACTTCTCGGAGTAGGTGTCGCGGTCACAGCCCTTCCCTATGTGGCTGGTCTCCAGCTCCACCGTCACCTGCACTGAGGCCACCGATTCACCACATGTCTCCAGGTGGACGTTTGGGAAGAGCGCCAAAGCACCAGTGCCAGGCTCGTACTCGACCCTGTTGTTCCATCCTGTGTGGGCCCACACACGGGCGGCGGGGGGGGGGGAAGAATACTCCTGTTAGGTCTCCGTGGTGAACAGATTTTCAGAGCAGGTGTGACAGCAGCAGAGAGACAGTGAGGCTCACCTTGCCACCCAGGGGTGCAGGTGGGTTTGATGCTGATCTTCACCAAAACATCCTCTGTTGCCCTCTTCTTCCCGCAGTCGTAGGCCGTGACTGTCAGCTTGTACTGTTGCTCTTTCCTGGAGTTCAGCTTCTCTGTGTTTTTTATATAACCTTCCAAGAGGAAGAACAACAGTGAGAACCCAAACCCATTCTGCTTCTCTCTTCTGACTTTTTTTTTAATTGACGTAGAGTTGATTGTGTCAGTTTCAGGTGTACAGCAAAGTGATTCAGATATATATATATATATATTTTTTTTTTCCCCGATTATTTTCAAACCCACTGTTTTTGACTTCTGTCGTCCTATGCTGAAACACAAAATGCACGTGTTTCAGCCCTGGAAACACTGACACAGAAATAAACTGATGCTTGAGATAATTAACATCCATGCTTTCCTGAGCTTGAACGCACACTAAATCCACCTTGAAGGATTATTTAAGCAGAGGAGTGAGTCTACAGAATTCAGCCTCCATTTATTCTTATAGTTGTATTTGGTTTTATATTTAAGATTTAATAGTTAACATGTAAGAGAATAAAAGAGACAAAATAATTCAAGTATTTCAAATATTAAATACAAGATGGAGGGCTTCCCTGGTGGCGCAGTGTTAAGAATCCGCCTGCCGATGCAGGGGACACAGGTTCGAGCCCTGGTCCAGGAAGATCCCACATGCCGCGGAGCAACTAAGCCCGTGCGCCACAACTACTGAGCCTGCGCTCTAAAGCTCACGTGCCACAACTACCGAAGCCTGTGCACCTAGAGCCCGTGCTCCACAACAAGAGAAGCCACCGCAATGAGAAGTCTGCGCACCACAATGAAGAGTAGCCCCTGCTCACCGCAACTAGAGAAAGCCGGCACGCAGCAACGAAGACCCAACACAGCCAGAAACAAAAATAAATAAATAAATAAATTTATAAAAATACAAGATGGAGCTGCATTAAATACTTCTTGCTAAAAGATTTACTTTGCTAGAGAGAGATTTCCTACCCTCAGCCAGTAGAACAGAAGCCTGCTTTTTGAACGTGAGTGCAAATGTCTGCAAAGTCTTTTCAATGTCCATCATTTCATCGAAGATTCTGGACTACGCATTAACAATGGAGACACCATAGCATCATCAAGAAGCCATAACCTAATAAAGAAGCTGCGCTCCAGAATAAGTTAATTCTAGTCAGTTACTAAGGATGGCGGGGTGTCTGGCAGCGAGGTATCAACCTTCATCTTCAAGATGAGGCAGAAAAGCCAAATCTGATGGAGAACAGAAAACGAAACTGACTAAGAGGCAGTCTCATTCGGATGCACGCTGACTGAAAGGTAGGGAGATAAAAAAATAAAAACACCTTAGGTGGGGGATTTTTATTAGATTTTGGTGGGAAAGGAAATAGAGGATCACCCTATAAGAGAACACAAGATTTGGTGCCAGAAAAGAGGCTTTCAGGGGACAGAGTAAAAACTTAAACATGACCTAAGTAGACACTTCTCCAAAGACATAGATGGCCAAAAGGTACATGCATGAAGAGATGCTCAACACTGCTATTTATTAGAGAAATGCAAATCAAAACTACAATGAGGTATCACCTCACACCAGTCAGAATGGCCATCATCAAAAAGTCTACAAATAATAAATTCTGGAGAGGGTGTGGAGAAAAGGGAACCCTCCTACATTGTTGCTGGGAATGTAAATTGGTGCAGCCGCTGTGGAGAACAGTATGGAGGGTCCTTAAAAAACTAAAAATAGAATCACCATATGATCCAGCAATCCCACTCCTGGGCATAATATCTGGGGAAAACCACAATTCAAAAAGATACAGTGCACCCCAATGTTCACTGCAACACTGTTTACAATAGCCAGGACATGGAAGCACCCTAAATGTCCATCGACAGATGAATGGATAAATATGTGGTATATGTATACAAAGGAATATTACTCAGCCATAAAAAAGAATGAAATAATGCCATTTGCAGCAACATGGATGGACCTACCAGTTATCATACTAAGTGAAGTAAGCCAGACAGAGAAAGACAAACATCATGATATGCCTTAAATGTGGAATGTTTAAAAAAAATTATACAAATGAACTTACATACAAAACAGAAATAGACCCACAGACATAGAAAACAAACTTATGGTTACCAAAGGGGAAGGGGGGGAAATAAATTAGGAGATTGGGATAAACATACACACACTACTATATATAAAATAGGGCTTCCCTTGTGGCCCAGTGATTAAGAATCAGCCTGCCAGTGCAGAGGGCAAGGGTTTAAGCCCTGGTCCGGGAAGATCCCACGTGCCACGGAGCAACTAAGCCCACGTGCCACAACTACTGAAGCCTGCGTGCCTAGAGCCCGTGCTCCACAACAAGAGAAGCCACCGCAATGAGAAGCCCGCGCACTGCAATGAAGAGTAGCCCCTGCTCACCACAACTAGAGAAAGCCCACACACAGCAACGAAGTCCCAGTGCAGCCGAAAATAAATTAATTAATTAAAAAAAAAAAGTTAAAAAAAAAAAGAGATAACCAACAAGGACCTACTGTATAGCACAGGGAACTATATAGTCAATATTTTATAATAACACATAAGGGAAAAGAAAAAAAAAAAAAATATATATATATATATAAAAAACTGAATCACTTTGCAGTATGCCTGAAACTAACACAACACTGTAAATCAACTACACTTTAACTAAAAAACAAAACTTAAATGTGAGACAGACACACCAAGTTAGGTCTTGCTATGGACTGAATGTGTGTGTCCCCCCAAATTCTTATGTTGAACTCTTGACTCTCAATGTGATGGCAGTAGGAGGTGGGGCCTCTGGGAGGTGATGAGGTTTAGACGAGGTCATGAGGGTGGAGCCCTCATGACGAGACTAGTGTCCTTACAAGAGAAAGAGACTAGA